TTGCTAATTTCACAATTTTCCCTTTTCTCCGTTGGCTGATTTTTATTATTCATTCTTTTCTCGCGCTATGTCTGATTTCACAATATTACAGTGTCCCTTTTTTACGCCTGACTTTTCGATCTCCTTTTTTTTCCCTGTGCTTTGCATCGATTTCTCGGCCTCTATTCAATTTTTTTCTCGCACCCGTTGCTACATTTGAAATTTTGTCTTTCCCTGATCATAAATTGCGCCTTCCATTACTTTCCATTGCTTTTCGGCCATTCCACTTCTTCCCGTAAATTCCTCTTGTTTAAAAATTTCGCTTATTAATGCGCGCGGTACGTCGCAAATGCATTGTTCGTTCGCACTCAAAAATATTTATAGGTCATTTTTTTACCAGCTTTCCCATGATGTTACAAATTCGTCATTTCCTCACGGATTTCGCTGTCTCGCTGTTTCCGAATGCCAAATTAATATCTCTATCTCTCTTTTTCCGCGATCTGCTCCAAGCTCAGCAGAGTTTAGATAAAACCTTTCTAGCGAGACGATTGAACTGTTTTCCACGCGATTATTTGAATGACTCGAGTCTCTTCGCGTTCACAGCAGCACTCCAAATTTTGCTTCCTCTACGCTTTCTGCAAAACCATCTTTCTCCGCCCTCTGCACTGATGCAATTTTCTCTACATCCACTTATTCCACCATTTTGCCTTTCTCTGCGCCGTCCCTTATTGAATTTCATGATTTCACTTTTCTTTGCGTTGTCTGCTGATTCCTCTCGTCTATTTTCGTTGCATTGCACCCCCTGCTCATCACAATTCGCTTTCTCTGCGTTTTCTACTCTAACTTTTCCCCGTTGACTCGCTTTTCTCCGTACTCTTATCTCCTCTAATTCCAAGAATTTCGTTTTTCTCTGTGTTCTCCCTTTATTTGCATGATCTCGTTCTCTTGTGCGTTCTCTTTACCAATTCTGTGAGCTCGCCTTTTCACGCACGCATTCAACATTCACAATCAGCAGAGTAAAACTTTGCATTGTTGCGTTAGTTTTCTCTGTTTTCCTGCGCGCTGTTACTCTGTTCACTGATTTCAATGTCTCGCTTTTCTTCGTGCTCTCGCAAGGTTTTACAGTTTTGCTTCCTCTACGCTATCTTACCAACTGCGACCTGGCCAGAAACAATCTTCCTCCGTTACTTAAATAGATTCCATGATTTCGTTTTCCTTTGTGCTCTCAAGCTTGCCTTTTCCTGCCCGTATTCACCATTCACAAGAACGCTTTTTACCTCTCCATCTTTCATAGTACTATCTTTCCTAATGAACAATGTCTTCTGGTTGCTTATGGATAGCCGGGAAATAGTTTTTTAAGTTTAAATCTGAAGTGACTAATGTCTTTCAACTTCACATTTCTTCTTTTTAAAAGTTTCATAATTTGAAGATCCACTTGAAAGTTATTTCTGAACGAGGTTTCTGAACGATCTGGGCAAGGTTCGTGACACGCGTGAGGCCAAACTCCTAACGCGCGCGCAATATTTGTCTTTTGTGTTAAAGACGTTACCATCTCTTCCCCCATTTTTCTTCTTTCTGTTTTCTTTTACGAACTAATTCTTTACCCCCAAATAACTATAAAACTGACCTTTCATGAAAATAACATTCGATGACAGAAGGTGTGAATCGCGCAGGTAAACGTATTTCTCGTGTCGAAGTTTGCTCCGTGTGCGTTTGAAAGAAAAGTCCTCACAAGTTCAAACTCTCTTCATTTGCGAAGTTTCTCGTTTGCTAGCTACAAACCTGGCAGGTTTTTGAAGGCTCTAAAACTCACGCGGAAACAGCAGGAAGGAAATTGCCGCTCCTCTGAAAACCACGCCTAACCTGTCCGAAGTTAGCGCTAAATAACTCCATGTTAATTGTGACGTGTCTCTATGTCGATAATTAATTCGTTAATTGTTATTAATTTATTAGATGTAATTTTCTAATTAAAAGACTATAGATATGATCAAAAACCACAGGCAGGCTTGAGTACAGGAGCACTTTGATTTACTGGAGAAGTATTTCACCATATTTTGTAAATCACATTGAAAACGGAATCTTCTTGCATTTAACCAACCTTTATCTTAATGTTGAGTTTGAAAGGAGATTAAGTAGACCAGAAGAATACCGACGAGCTTCGAACGATGGCGCGTGACAAACAAGACCGCGCGAGACAACAACATTTGCCAGGTCATTGAGCTACTGAAATCGTTCGATGAAGACGAAAGTTCAGCACCGTAAACAGCAGCGAAGCTACAAGCAAAAATGTCTGCCCTAAAGTCCGCAGACACAATAGAAATCAGCTCCAGTAGCTCTGTGTTGAGCCACTTAAAATTTATTATCTCAAACTTTTTTGTTGATGAAGAATGCGCTGAAAAGTGACAAAGCTCGCACACAATTAGAACTGGTTTAATAAACTCGGTATTCCTAACGGACTTCAGGTAATTGTTATGCTAATTTATTGGATTCCTTGGGTCAGGTCTTTGTGTATGACTCGTGTAGAAGTCGAGGGTGATTTTTTGGTCATAAAAAGGTCGACTTATACACGAGTAAAATACGGTAGGCTCCAGCAGACTAAGATGAAACACGCAGACATGACATCCAACTCATAAATGTATCCTTTCTCATCCATTCATTGATTTTGTATGATAATCTTTTATACCTTGAGAGCAGAGTTTACAAGTTGACATGGGAAGCAATATGTTAGCCTAAGGAAACCACCAATCAGACTTGAGATAAAAGTTGAATTTTTATTCCACAATATCATTTAAAATTATCAACACCTTTTACTTACTGATTAACAAAGCCCCACCAATAATTGCTCTACATTTTTTAATTTTGCAAGCAGCAGCTGGTATAGTCCCAGGGGAAGTACTTTCTACTAATCAGCTAATGGAGGTGTGCCACTGGATGAGGTCACATTTTCATCACTTCTGTGTAAAAAAAAGATATCAAATTTCATCACTCAATCAGACAGATACATGATTGCCAAAAACGTTCTGTGCCTTCATACAGACTAATGATTATTCCTAAACCTTATCTACTCACAGCAATGAGGCATCAGAACATCTTTATATGCATAATTAAGCCACACTGAATGTAGCTTCATCAACAGTCTCCTGCCGACTCATGCTTTCCTGTACTTCACACAATGTGCTTGTTTTAACTTTTGAGTTCAAATAGGCTCTTTTTGTATCCACCTTTGTTCTCATATTAGCAGCTGTGAATACTATGGCTTTGGTTCAACAACACTCCACTGAAATATACTCTATGTAAATTATCTCAGCTTGAAACCAAAACACCACCATTATCAATTGTTTTAAAGGACCACAAGGTAAAATATCATCTCATATCATAATTATGCACTGTAGTTAACTAGAGTATTTGCTTCTGTCACTATCACTACATGCCTATAGGATATCAAATTACAATGATAAATAACTTCACCAATGGTCCATCGTCTATTTACAATTGTATCAAAAATCATTATACATTACATGACAGAGGATTAGTGTGTTGCTGACAATATGAATTCTTCCTCCTGTGCCATCACTTCATTAGTAAACCTAAATTTATATTTACATACTTGGAAAACATACCTCAGTCTTTATCTGTTCTTCACTGAGATCATATTTTGCAGCTTCACTTGGTCACACTCATCTTTTCTTTGTTCTTTTCAGTTGCTGTAATCAAATTAGGTCATTTGATCAACATTAACAATGATGTAAAATTAAGTTTTTAGCCCTTAAATTTGCAGTGACAATTTTGATACTGTAAGAGCAATTTAAAATCTTGTACTATAGGTTACTTATACCCTCATAGTAAAGCAAAATGTGAATTAAAAAATTAAGCTATTGGGTTAATTTATTTCTACATTTCTATGTCCTGCACTTTAGTTTGAGGAGTTATTCTACAATTTTTAAGGAGATAGCTGTTGAGAATTTTTATCCAATTTGATCAAAGATGGGTGAGCAGTAGACATCTCTTATGATGGTTTAAAAAACAATGGGTACAAATAGGTACTTTAGAATGGGGGGGCCCCAAGATGTTTGAAGGCCTGCATGGAGAGTCTTCTATTCCTAGCGAGATTTCAGCACCTTGGGAAATTTTTAAGGTTTTGATTTTCCAACATTTTAGGGTCAATGCTAAATTATGTCATGTAGTTGTGCTTTGGTGAAAACCTATTTGAAGATGTATGTTAGGACTACAAAGATGTATTATGTGAAGGCTTCAAGCAGGTAGCAAGTGCATTACAGGTAGATCTACCTGCTACCATGAGCTACTCTTCATAAAAATCACAGTTACACCAAATGATTCACTTTACCATGTACGTATTTTGTTTTCTTGTGATAGCTAGAGTATAATCAATATATGTCTCTAACATCTTGTATAGTTCAAATACAACAGAAAAAGCAAAACTAAACTGAGTGACATACTCTTGAATTTTGCCTAAGGTATGCAGGTAAAAATATATTTTCCCCACCATCTTTGGGTTGCATCCTGCAACAAAAAGAGTGAAAACACAACTTAAAATGAACAAATGCCACAAGTTGTATCACAAACAGTGGTGTATATACTGTTATATACTAATATAAACAGTTATATATATATGCTGAATAGCTCTTAGTTTTAGAATAGACAAAACCATTCCCTCAACAGCAGTGCTTTTACTACAGAAAATTCCCGAATACATGTGGAACTGCTGGCATCAGTGACAGCAGGGTAGAGCCAGTTCAATGGTTATTTATCTTACCAGTTGGCATCTGCACAGAGCAGCCAGTGAAGATCACAGAGTAATGGAAAATGCCAAAACCTTAAGTTACAATTCACATAAAAATAGGACAATAACTGAGCACAAAAGGAAAACCATTCAGTAAAAGCCAGATAATTCAGAGCTATGGGGGCAATATACCATGCAGATCTTTTCAAAGAACCATCAGAGTCAACATTACATTAAGGATGTTTGCAGAGAGACATATGCATTGCCTGGCCTGTTTTACCTGTTCTGAGAAAATCGTGATCTGGAGGGAGTTCTTGCTTGGCGAAGAACAATTTCTAAATCAGGCAGACCTTCAGGCTTCAACATACACATTGGATGGGTCTGAAACTGCAACAAGAAATCCCTTTCATATGTGAGCCTTCCCCCATCTTGTTTTTTAGGCTTTTCATCAAGGTCTGGAAAGGATGCCTCTGTTGAAATGGAAGTGACATTCATTACGTACAAGTCAGAACAAACCAACAATGCAATTTTTTTATTTGCAATGAAATGGAATTCACAAATATCTATATTTGTCTCCCTTAACTAAGAAAATTGATCGGGAAAAATGACTACAACTTAAGTTCAGTACAGATTAAGAAGTATTGATACCACAAACAAACACTTTTGGCATATCAGAGTTCAAGCAAAAATTAAAATTGATAGAAAAATAGCCAGCCCTATAGTTTTCCACACAGCCAAAAGAAAGCAATATAAAACTTGTGCCTCACAAAAAATTACTAGACTGGGCAATCTGAATGGATTGCCCAAATTTCTTCAACTTCATTAAATGGGGCTAAAACTGACTGAGCACAGAACCAAATTTAACCTGTCTCATTTTCACACAATGTATTCAGTCAATTTTAATTCATTGTCATACAGTCTAGGTCCTTCCACATAGCCATTTATGAACACTGCACACAGTGGTATTCATATCTGTATCAAGTGACCAAATTATAGTATGATCTACAACTGATTTTAAAAATTTTGCCTTTAAAAATTTGTTTTCAAAAACAAATATATTTTCTCAATTCAACAACCAGCAATGGAATCAGACTTGGCTTTTAAACTCTGCAACCATAGCAATCTACTTTTATGGGGTAAGAGTATATAGAGTAGATATACAAACCTGCTCCTGGAACATCAGTAGAGTTCTTTGTAACACTTGCAGTTTTAGCCTTAGCCTCATACCCATTGACCATCTCCTCAACTTCTGCACTCTCTGATTGAGGAGCTTTTAGCATAATTTCTTCTCCTACAGATCCCTCCAGGGTTAGCTCAACTTTAGGAACTTGCTGATTGTCCTGTTTTTTGGGTTGTCTTGATTTGGACTCCTCTTTTACCTGTTTTCCTAACTTCTTTCCTAACAGCTGTTCAGCCAATTTTCTTTCTGTTGCAGCAGTCATGTTTGCACTAATTTCTGTTTGCCTTGACAAGTAATATTTTGATGTATCAGCTACAGATTTTAATTTGGGAGCATCTACAGTCAACTTATTATTTACTGATGGCTTCTGTATAATAACGTCTCCGGGTTTTTTGTTTTTATCTGTGTCACTAGTTAAAGTTGCAGCTACCTGCGCTGCAAACTGTGCTCGCACATTTTGTTGCCGTGATGATAGTGGAGGTGTACTTGAACTACTGGACTGTCCTGATATATCTGGGGTGTTAGTTGGTGTACCCCCAGTACTTCCTGATGCACTTCCTGATACACTTCCTGATGGTTGACGATTATTAAGAATTTCCTGTGTCACATCTTTGTTACTGTCTGGATCTTTCATTCGAATTAATTTCCTCTCCCGTGCACGTGGCTCAAAATTTTGACCAGGACTGTACTGCTGTATTGTATTCATGGGAGTTGCAGGGGCCCTAAGAATATACAAAGGACCTGATGGCTGTCCCATTGGATATATTGTTTGTTGAGGAGTATAACCAAAATGGCCAGGACCCTGGGAAGGGCCTGATACAGGAGGAAATGCCCCTGCCATGGGTTGCTGAGGTCTGTACTGCATCTGAGGTGGACCAGAAATTTGCCCATAATCAACCTGTGCATAAAAAGACTGTAATGTACAAATACTCTACAAGCAGAATTTAAGCCATATCTTGTATAATTCTACATTGTAAATTGCAAAAGCAAAAGGCCAAATGAATGTTTGCAAGTTCACAAGTGGATAACATACGAATCACATAAGTTGCAAAATAAAAAA